AGGGGGGGGGGGGGGGGAAGGAGGGGGAAAACCAGAAAAGATCAATAAGAAATCAGAACAAAATATTCCTGAAAGAATATAACTACAGAAAAACAATTAACAAATCAAGTTACAACATTACATCATGAAATCAGTGGAACAACAGCCAGATCAGCCCATTCTGTTCAAGGAACAAAGAACAAATTTTGCACTTCAAGCAAGCTCAAACGAAAACGATAACTAAGCACATATAACATATTATTTTCTATGCATAAAAGGCAAACCCAATACATTTGTTATCATGAATTATCACTAGGCTTTTTAGGAAAAGATAAAGAACAATAGTACAAAATTATCTGCACGATAGTGATAAGCCTTTCCATGCCTCAGCCAAAACCAGCATTAACACCATGTGTATTTTGTATTTTGAAAAAACAAAAACCAACCCCAAAAACACGCAAAACAAGTATTCAGAAACGTAAGTCAAAAGGATGGTTTTACAGATCAGTTGTGGTAGATCCCAAAAGCGAAGAAGTATTTTTATCAGATGCCATGTCAGTACTTCAGACAATCACTGCTGGCAAACTACTAAGGATGCGAGAGGTAATTTAGGACATCCCAAGCCTGAGTATCATGCTGCAGTGGATTCCATATCACTGTCGTGTCTTAGGAAATGAACAGGCAGACAGGATGGTCAAACTAGGCGCACAGAAAGAGCAACCAGACAACAGCGTAAACTATACAGAAATAAAAACTATTATAAATACACTATTTAAAGCACCACAGGCATCAGATAGCTACCATGAGCTGTCCCGCCAAGATATAGTGATCAGTTTATAGAAAGCAATAAAAAAATTATTATCAAGATCTGTAACAAAGCAAACAAAAAAAACAAATGACAGAAAGGAACCACTTGACAGTTTAACAAATCTGTTATCATTTCAATAAGTGACTATTTATAGTATGAAACCTAAACAAAATAAATTACTTACATCAGCAGTCACTTTGATGATGTTGTAACGTTCTTTGTCTGCCTCATTTGGACATTCATCAATTTTCTTTGCTAAAGCCTGGCCAAGGAGAACAAGCAGTAAAATTTTTTCATTAACCTGTGCAGTTTCCAGTGTAAAAATGACAGTCACTTAGTGTATGTGTATGCGTTCATGAAACTTTTTGCCCAAAACATTTAAAGTAGTGTTGTTGAGTTGAGGCTTATCTACACCCTTTCATTTTTTGTGATTTTCTCACATTTCCAAGCCCCTTAAAGCTTTAATAAGCTAACCACAAGGCCACTGACGCCAGAGCATCTCAGTGTTGCCATAAATTATCTTGGTAACTAAGACCAGAGATAGACAAAGACAGAATCCTATATTATTATTTACCCTGGATGCAGGGGGG